AGCGTACTATTTGCTTGTAGAGTAAGTACTTTCGCTCACACTTTTGGCAAATTTGTTGCTAAACTTTGTAAGTAGAACTGATTTTGAATTATTTTCTTAATAAATCTTTACAAGCTTTGTTTTTCGCAGCAGGTGCCTCAAAAGATATTTATTCTTTGGACACATATGACTTAAATATGATGCAAACCAAGCGTACGTGCATTTTTTTATTTTTATTATTCTTGGACTAAGGATCCCGCGTTTAAAGGCTGGTTGCGTAAACAATTGAGGTTACAAGGCTTATTACAATGTTTGCAATTGTATATTAAAGCCCAAATCAGGAAGAGCTGATCTATTGCAACACGCACGGTCGAAAAAGCACTATGTTCCTTCTTAGCAGAAAGTAATTTAGCGTTTTCGACAACCGACCGCCTAACCAAATGTCTACAAGAAAAAATTTAAAAATCAACGTGATTCTTTAGCAACTTAAAACTTGCACATTATTACCCTGGAATTTAATGGGCTATCAAACTGCATACTCAACAAAAAATCTAAAAAATCTGAATGAAAACTTTAAAATCTAGCTGAAACTTTTTGCTTTTATGAAAAAATAATAAACATTAAATAAACAAAAGAAAAACAGTCAAAATCGATCAAAATCTTGAAGACTTAATCAGCTGATCACAAGTGTATGTATAAAATGATTTTTATATTAAGGATATATTTTTTTCCTTTTTTCTATCTAGATCCCTACCTCTGCCTCTGTTCGTTCTAATTACATTTGTCTTCATTTTTATCTTTATGCTCTATCGATAACAAAATCGATAGAAACATTCAATAAAATATCGATAACAAAATCGATGAAAAATTCGATAAAAATTACGATAGCAAAATCGATAATAATATTGGAATCGATAAAAATATCCATAACAAAATCGATAAATTCGATTACAAAATCGATAAATAACGATAACAAAATCGATAAAAATAACGAAAACGAAATCGATAAATATCGAAAACAAAATCGATAAAAATATCGATAAAAAATATCGCTAACAAAATAGTTAAAAACATCGATTACAAAATCGATAACAAATCGATAAAAACATCGACAACAAAATAGATAAAAATATCGATAACAAAATATA